ATATATTACTGAAAGATATCTATTAGATTCGGAAAAATTACGGAGACCGACTGGATTCGAACTCGGGATCTCTCGTCTACCAATCCGACACTTAGTCTGCACGACCACGATGGCTCCTCTCTGTTAGCTGTTTATATTCCGAATCTCTTTCAGACCGCTTACGATCGTCTAATTCTTACAGTTCGGCCATTCTGGTATTACATTCGTCCCGAATGTATCGAGTCTTCCTCTATCGGACTTTTATCCGAAACTTGGAGCTTCTGCTCCCGACTTCGATCACTTCTTGAACGACCGACACGACTTCTTTGGAGTACTACTCCGCGACTTTTTTTTTCCGTTCACTTTCTTGAACGCCCGACACGACATTGGAGTACTACTCCCCGACTTTTTCCGTTGACTTCTGAACGATCGACTTGTCAGGTAACATAGTCTGAATCTTCTCTGAGGTAACATAAGCTGAATCCCACTTCTGAGATTGAAAGATATCTATTAGATTCGGAAAAAATTAACGGAGACCGACTGGATTTGAGAACTCGGGATCCCTCGTCTACCAATCCGACATTTAGTCTGCACGACTACGACGGCTTCTCTCTGTTAGCTGTTTATATTCCGAATCTCTTTCATGACCGCTTACGGTCGTCTAATTCTTACACTATTGTAATCAAATATAAACGAGATTTTTAAATTTAAACTGCGCAGGTTCATCGATTATGACAAATATTTTTTGATTAAGTTGGTAGTACTGTCTTTGACATTGTGTGAAATTTCATGTCATTCTCTTTATTTGTTTAATAGTGAACGTTCGTTTTTGTGAATATCCAAAAGTATTTTTTTCGATTTTTACGATGTATGATTCTGTTCGGCAAAGAAATTGTATTTTATTTTGTTTGCGGAATGAAATTTCTGCTACTGAAACGTTTAGAATGTTACAGAAGGCTTTTAGTGACCAGGCTCTATCGAGACCAAGAGTATTTGATTGGTATAAAATGTTGAAAGATGGTCGAAAAAGCGTAGAAAACGAACCACATCAAAGACGACCAAAAACATCAACTGATGAACAACACGTGAAGCAAATCAAGGATTTGGTGCTCCAAAATCGTCGATTGACAATTAGAGAACTTGTCGATACTGTAAACATTTCATTTGGATCAGTCCAGACCATTTTTGCTTGAGAAGAGTCAAATCTCGTTTGGTTCCAAAAACACTCAACTTTTTGGAAAAATAGCGTTGCGTTGAAGTGTGTGAAACAATGATTTCCGACTACCAGGACAAGATGAAACGCATGATAACTGGAGATGAGATTTGGATCTATGCGTACAACCCGGAAACAACCAACCAATCGAGCGAATATCGTGCAAAAGGTGAGGCAAAACCAAAAAGATCGCGCCAAAGTCGCTCAAAAATCAAGGTTTTGTTAACAATTTTCTTCGATTATCGTGGTGTGATGCATTATGAATTCCTTCCGCCGGGCTAAACTGTTAACAAGGAATATTATTTGAGTGTTATGCGTCGTTTGCGTAAAGCTATTCGCCTCAAGAGGCCAGATTTATGGGCAGACACCTCATGGTTTTTACACGATAATGCGCCATCTCACACTGCACTGGTTCTTTGTGACCATTTCGCCAAAAACTCGACCCATATCGTTCCACAACCACCGTATTCGCCTGATTTAGCACCGTGTGACTTCTGGCTATTCAGTAAACTCAAAAGACCGCTCCGGGGACACCGTTTTGAATCGATTGAGGAGATACAAGCCGAAACCAAGAAGGTATTGAAGGCCATTCCGGAAGAAGAGTTTTCAAAGTGTTTCGAGGATTGGAAAAAGCGTTGGCATAAGTGTATTGCATCGGGAGAGGATTATTTTGAAGGCGACGAATTTGATTTTGAAGAATAAATAAAGATTTTTCACTCTATAACAAAAATCTCGTTTATATTTGATCACAGTAGTATATATACTATATATATATATATATATATATATATATATATATATATAATAAGTAAGTAAA